TATTTGTTTCAGAGGTACAGATCTGTGATTCAACAGTCTTGCACAATTCACAGCGCTCACCATAGCACATACCCTCCCCAGTGTCTATCACCCAGCCACCCCATCCCTCCCACCCCCCACCACTCCAGCAACCCTCAGTTTTAGAATCATGACTGCATTTTATTCCATCATATAAATGGTTCACAATGCCTAAACCTGCCCCTGATTAAAGTTTTTCCATATTTTTATAGTATTTCATAAAATAATTCTTAAATCTTTGTAATATTTATTATTATGTACTTGAGATAAATTTTCTATTAAGAATAAAATAACAAGATCCTAGGGAAAGCTTGTATTGTCAATAGATTCATTGGGCACCCTATACTTAGCCCTCCAGAAATTCTCATCCGATCCTGTATGGTAACAGTCTTTCACGTATATTTCAGCATCTCTATTGCCTGGTGGTGGTTAGCATTTCTCAGTGCTCTGAGAATCATTATAGATGATATTATAGCCACCTGGTACTGAAGATTTCTATAGGCCTTTGTCTGGAGCTCTGAAATAAATCTGCTTTATTTCTCTTCCCTCAGCTTGGCATTCTCAGGACTCTGGCCTTTTGGAGGAAGAAGAGGATATGACCAGGTCTCTTGTACGTTTTAAGCGTTTGTTTGCTGCATTATTTTGCATTGCAGTTGCAGGGGGTTACCTTAACCTATCAGTAAATTGGAAAAAACTAAATTGATGAAAATCAAGGTAAGGAAAAATAGAAGATCAGAACCAGGTGAAATTTGGGATGTGGCTGTGCAGAAACAGGTCCATACAAAGTTATTAGGTTGAATTCAATCTGAATGTGAGCTGGAGAAACAAAAGTAAACTGGGACACAAAGTTTATTCCATATATTCCATAATTTATTCTGTTTATGAGGAAAAAGCTAATAATTAAGGAAAGAGAAAACTTTTCAAAGATTTTTTTTTAAAGTAATCACTATACCCAAAGTGGGGCTCAAACTTACAACCCCAAGATCAAGAAAGCATTGGCACACTGGGCGCCTGGGTGGCTCAGTTGGTTGAGCGACTGCCTTAGGCTCAGATCATGATCCTGGAGTCCCGGGATCGAGTCCCGCATCGGGCTCCCTGCTCAGCAGGGGTCTGTTTCTCCCTCTCCCACTCCCCCCTCTTGTGCTCTCTCTCACTCTCTCTCTCAAATAAATAAAATCTTTAAAAAAAAAAAAAGAAAGCATGGCACCTAGGTAAAAAAGAAATTCAGAATAATTCCACAATACTTATAATTTTAAGATCAATTTTTTTTTTAAAAAAGTCTGTCCTGGCCAAAGATTAAAAACTAAAATTATCTGGAATAGTAAATGGAACACATCTTTCAAATGATCCTGCATATATATTTTCTTCGGTTGAGATTTATCAAATTGAACTAAAATATACTAGCTTCTATGGAAAAATCTTAAAGTTCTTATATCCATAACTTTCCACATTTTTTTTTTTTTTAATGGCCTCAGAAGATGCAGTATTCTTTGCCTTCTTGCAAAATGACTCATTCTCCTTTGCTCTTGATTCTTTTTGTTTCCAGCTCTGGAATCCCTCACACCCTGTAGTTTAAATATTTTCTACTTCGCTACCGCTTTTCCTCAGTTCATATTTCCCATCCTGAAACACACAAACACATTTCTTTTGGACGTATGATCCTGTGGTTTGTGCGGTTATTTCTCCTGTTGTCAGAGTGGTTCTCTAGGCCTACAGAGGCTTGGGTTCAAATCTTGGCCCAGCAACTTACTAAGTGCATGATTATGGGCAGGTTTAATCTCTTTGGCCTCAGTTACATTGTTTGTAAATGGGGATAATAATCGTATTTATCCCATAGGAATAATGGGAGGGTTAAATGCACATAGTAAGTGCTCCATAAATGATAAATATTGTTAATAATTGTTAGCTATAGAAATCTTTCCTAACTGAAAAGGCCTTGGGATATGTTGGCTATATTTTGACTTGCCTTTTTAGTTTAACATATGAAACCAATGAGATAAAAGAGAAGATGCCTGATTTGGGTTCATACAATTAATCCTCTTCAGTAAAACTACAATAAACACTGTAATAAGGCAAAACTGGGAACAGTTTTGTAATACATATAGCATAAATATACTAACAATTCTTAAAAACCAGAAATTAAGAAAATAGAAAATTGTGTGAAGAACATGAAGAGGCAGATGGAAGAAATAAAAGTGGCCAGTGGGTATTTTATTTTATTTATTTATTTTTTTTAAAGATTTTATTTATTTATTTGACAGAGACATAGCAAGAAAGGGA